GCCACAAGGGACCTGATCAAAAGTCTTCTCCATCGCTAACTGCTTGGTCCTTTAAACTGGATCCGCTAAGTGTTGGCCCTAAGGCCTTCTGTCTGCAGAGTTCTCCATCTCTCCTTTACCATCCCTTTGGAAGGAAGGACGAAATATGCATTTAATTAATAAATAACAGTGAGGATTTTTGTGAGCTAGTGGCTTTTTGGAGCATTTTTAAAAGGCTGACTTAAATGCTTAACGCTTTCATTCTGCTGCACCAATGAAAAATTGAGTCCTATGTATCTGCATATATATATATATAATCTCCAGTCATCGATCTTGGGCAGCAGATGGGCCCTAAGAGACAGATGGGGACATACCCATGTTTGAATCTCACTCCCATCATGATGAAATAGCAAATGCAGGAAGCCCTCTCCTGCATAACACAGTTGTCGATTGGGTACATAAAGGGTGAGATGAACAGTCTTTAATGAGCTATATATACAAGCTAAATGTGCATTACACACTAAGCATTGGCTGGTGTTTGCTTGTTATTTATGGTAAGTTTCATTGTTTTCAGTATGCCTTATTCCCAGGTAAGTGTTCATAGGGCCTCTGTCATCCTGTTTCAAAAAAGCCATCATGATTCATCTTAGTTTAGTCCCTGGGTAAAATTCAGATGAGCCTACAATTAAATTTATGTACTGAGTTGTGTTGGATACTGATTACATTTATTTATATGTGGTATGTATAACAGATAATAGCATGCTATTATGTCTTTGCTGTATGTATGTTGTGGATTATGCACATTTCATCATGAAGAGAGACTCCAATTTATGTGTAAACAAATGGAGGAACAGTAAAGATTTATAGTTAATATACTTCATCACGCTTTTAACAAGTTACACATTGCTTAGTGCTGCAGCAGATGTGATATTGTGAGGCTTTCCGTCATATGCAGACTGGAGCCGTTTGGGGTTATTCGGCTTCAGTCACCAAAGTGTCTTGCCAAATGGTGAGGCAAATGTGACCTCATCCTCACTCGCCCCACATTTCCATTTGGTTGCAAAAGCGTGGTATGAATCGCTTTGCTGTATGACTGGATGCTGCAGATCTTTGAGTCATTACATCTGTCCCACAGTGAGTTTGTAAGCAGCTCCCTTCTGGTAAATTCCCCTTTTATATGTGAGGCCTGGGGTAGCTGCTCCCCTACTTTAAAAGTACTGAATCTTAGTCCATGCCCTTATTTAACTCCCATCCCTTTCAATATGGCTCAAGTACAGTGAGTGCCTGCAAAACTGGGCCCAATATGTCCACTGGGTTTGCTATCAACATAGACAAAGTTTTCTCCAAAACAAACTAAAGAAAATCCCCACAACACTGACAGGTTCACACAGTCCATGCTTAAAGCATGGAAGGGAAAAGTAGGCAAACTATCCCCATCTCCACCAGTCCCCCAGGCCTATCACCCACTATTTCAACACGCAGCACAAACTTCCCGATAAAAATCTGGCAAGCCAAAGGCCTACACTGCAAAAACAACAAGCCCATACCAACACAACAAATGCAAGACAACCAAGGGACACCCAAATACCTTGGCTAACACACCATCAACTACGTGCCTTCTTAAACAATCCAGCACTAAAATCAGCAGCCACTAGGCCCTTGACCAGCTTCAAAAACCTTCTCCTGACAGCAGAGCGACACGGCAAAGGGATAATATCCACAATATACAAAATACTGCTCCAAAATCCCACAGAGCCCCTTGACGCAATCAAAGAACAATGGGAGCATGACATAGGCTATGAAATTAACCCCACCCAATGGACTAGAATGTGGTTTAAACCTCCCTTTAAGTCCATATCTTCCAAAAGAAGGGAACTCACACTGAAACTCACCTACAGGTGGTACTTAACACCACAGAAACTGGCACTGATATGCCCAGGAACCTCACCAAGATGTTGGAGAGGCTGCACCTTCACAGGCACATACCTCCACATGTGGTGGGAATGCCCTAAAATCCAACCCTTCTGGACAGCAGTCCTACAAGAGATAGGCAAAATAATTAAACAAGTATTAGAACTCTCCCCAGAACTGGCCCTACTGAACATCTTCCAAGTTCATAATGACCACTCACATTATACAGAGTTTATAACCCACCTACTCTCAGCAGCCAGAAGCTTCATAGCCAGCACTGGAGAGACCTGTCAGGAGTAGACCTGGACCAATGGTATCCAATTGTATGGGAAACGGCCTTACTAGAAAAGCTAACCAATAAACTGAAACGGGGACAAATAGAAGAGGACGCCTTCACCCCAGTATGGCACCCCTTTATCACATACACAGCCCAACAGGACAACAACAAGAATCAACCGACAGCATACAAATCAATCTGGTTTACCTCACCCAACAAGCTCTCCCCACAACAAATGCAAACAAACCCCACTGCAGCCAACCAACCACACCCTGCCCTCCAATACCTCTCACTGCCAAGGCAATGTAATAAATGAATAGAAATGGTTGACCTACCCAGTCGACGCTGACACAAAACCCCACACGTACACTATACAAAAGAATATAAGGCTCACCAGCCCAACCCTTCCTCTCCCCTCTCTTCTTCACCAACTCTGTACTGTACTCAACACTAATGTCTCACAACAAATGCAACTGATTTGTAAGGAAGACTGTACAGCCCGAAAAAAGAGACAAGGCATGTACTTTTGTAAATCAAGAAAATCTTTATTTTTTATTTTTTTAAAAACCCATATACCCAGTTTTGCTGAGCTCTGCATTCTGGCCGTGTTCTACCAAATGAGAATTTCCAGAACAGCTCTACCCATCCTGTTCCAACTCCCTTAGGGAATATTACATGCTTGAAGGATGTTCTTAGAGGAAACACCCTTCGAGATTTATAATTATAACATACATTAACTCTTTTTACAAGGCAGAAATATGCAGCAAAGCGGGGAGGGGGGAATAGAGGTGGAGGTATAGAAGTAACGCTGCAATCCATCCATGGAGATATTCTTCTGGATGTCATAAAGCTTAGTAGGAGAGAATAAAATTTACAAATGGACATGGTTGCTGATCCTTGCCTCAGCTGTCCTTGTTAAGGCCGCAAGCAGGTTGCAGCCTGCGAGAACACGTGGGTGCGAACTTCCAAAAAGCTTTAAACAAAGTACCTCACCAAAGACTTCCAAGTAGGCTTAGCAACCAAGAAATAAGAGGAGAGGTCTTCTTGGGAATCAGGAACTGGTTAAATAACAGGAAGCAGAGAGCTGGAATAAATGGGACATTTTCCCAGTTGACAGATTCATCCATCCCAGGTCTTGTCAAGAAGAATTCACAACAGCTTTCCACAGCAAGCATCCACAACATACATCTGGAGGGTATGGATACCATAGACATAGAAGGTCAAAAGATAGTCAAATCTGATCTGTTGAGAACTTACCATAAACGAGCATCAGATAATCTTTCCCCATGTGGTGGATGAAAACAACAGGGTCTTTTATAGGGTTTTATTTTTTATTTTTTACCAATTATGGGATCTCTAAGATATTAAGATTGGAATACTTCATCCTTGCCTCAGTAACAGGGACATGAAGATACTTTCGCAGAACATTGTATCTTACAAATGGACATTGACAAGTAATGCTAGACTATCCTCAGCCAGGAATAGCTGTAGCGGGTGACTCATATGCAGTGCAAACAACCAATCTATCATTTATTATATGGACATTGACCTGTTAACGCGATGCAACCCTTTCTCATTCATTTGCCTGAGTCTTACTCAAGGGGACGGTGCCAATAACATAATATACACTATTACACATGCATGCAGATAAGATCTACTTTACTATCATATTGTGAGTTGTTTTAAACTGTTTTCAATATTGTAATATCTATCTTTTCAATATTAAATATGTTTTAATGCTTCATCCCACCTTGGGACCTTTGTGTGAAGGGCAAGCTATAACTAAATAAATAATACCCGTCTGTCTATGGGTGCAGCATTGCAAGTAGCGCTTCCTCGCCTTTCTTCAGGGTAGTTGGGTACATTGTCCTTTTGACTCTAGATAGGGCTGGGAAGGACTCCTGCCTGAAACCGTGCACAGCCACTGCCAGTCAGTGTAGACAATTCAGACCTAGATGGACCAATAGTCTGGTTCTGTTTAAGGCAGCTTCCTATTTTACTTTGGCTTAGTGGTGAAGAAGCTGAGGCCCAGACAGCACTTATGGCCCTCCAGGCCTCTCCATTGGGACTCTCCTCTTCTCGCCAGGTTACACGAGTCACTGAGCCTTCCTCACTCAAGTGCTTACGCCTTGTTGGAATGTGCCCTGGAACTGGGATAGTGTCTCTTGTATGCCTGGCATGAGGAGGGTGTCATGGGTGTGTAACCCCCCCTGACTGAATTGTAGCCTCTTTACAAAAGTGAGAGGCACATCCATTGCTTCTCCCACTTTTTTTGCTTCAGGTCCACCACCAGAATGCGCCACACACACACCGGAAAAGTTGTCAATGTGGGAATGTGGTTGGCAAAGGTTTCCCTGCTCCTGCTATAACTGGAACAAGAGGAGCGAGTGAACATGTGATTTGTGCATCCACATACAGTCATGCAAAACACTTGATGACACCCTGACTCTTGCTTAGCATAATAGGTTGCGGTCAAAGAAAAGGCATCCTGACTGGTAGTGACATATGCACAGTGGTGTAGCTAGGCGCTCGGGTGCCTGGTGCAGGGGCGTGTCCTGCAGCCGGGGGCGGGGTGATCTGCCCATGTGGGCGTGGCAAGCTTCTACAATGTTTGGAGCTTCTCCACCGCCTCCCCCTCAGCTGTAGGGCGGCTGAGGGAGAGGCAGTAGACAGATGCAAGTCCTACACTGCGGTTTCAGGCAGTGCGGAACCTGCAGGCACCTAAGCCACCACGTCACTCCTAAAAAGTTTCGTGAGCCCTTTTTATATATATATATATAAAAAACATTTTGCCAACCCCCCCCCCCTCAGTAATGATACCCAAGGTGGACCGCACCCCCCACACACCACTTCCTCTGCCACCACATATGCAGAAGTTCTCAACCATGCTTTTGGACTGAGGGCAGCAACAAACATTTTGCTGAAAGACCACGAACCAGCCCACATTTTGCATCAGTCCCATTCAGCAGACAAAAGGGAGAGAGGCAAGCCAGGAAGTGTGATACCAGCCACACACAAAATGTTCTAGACTTTTAACTGTGCAGTTGGCGCACAAAACAGGCTTGCAACATTTTCACTGCCTGAGTGACTAGAATAGGATTGGCTTGGCTGGGTATCTTGCCTTTGAAGTGCAGTGAAATCCTACGGCTTTTATTTTCTTGGCGAACACATGTAAGGACTCTCCTATTTTTGACCCCATATGGAGTCCTATAATCTAGTCTCGCCTGGGGCACCAGAACCTTTTAGGCCATCACTGCTGAAATTGGTACTGGAAGGGAAAATAACATCTCTTGGAAGAGTCAGAAGAGACTACGGGGAAATTCTCCGAGGGGAATGTTATAAAAGAAAAGGGGAGGCTAGTTTCCTCTCTTTTTTGTTCCCTTTCTAAGTTTAACTCTTTCCCATTTATAGTAATGTAATCAGTTTAGTTTTGACTACAATTTTGCCTAAATTGAATCGCTGTCGGTGCTGCATACAGCTACGCGTTCACCGGAAAATAAATTCTAAGTCACTTTTAGAGTGCCTGAAAGAGAAACGAGCTTTTGTACAAAGGTCTGATAGTATTAGGAGAGGCAACTGGTTGGTTTGGGGTGACCTGGAAATTGATGTTCTTGTTTTGTAATCGTTTAAGCGATTTAGTTTTAATTCATTTCTGAATTTAGAGCCTTTAATGAATTTGGCACTGATGGTGCAAGGAATGGCAAGGAGATAGCACAGCGACTTTCATTTATGTGTCTCTACTCAATTATCTCTTTACTCCATCCAGATTCTGCTGATAGGAAGCATTAGGAAAAATGGTGGCTTCATCAGGGTTTGGGCAATCTTACCTGAAATGGGGATTAACCTGTGATTTCTAACTTACTTTTGTGTTTGCTTTTAGACAAGAGCATTCATGGGCATACATTCCCTAAAATCAGAAAAGCATGCCCTAATTTTATTTCATGTTTAGCATTATACTCTTGCAACATCTGATCTTGCAACGGTAATATGGGAGTTGACCTTTCTGGGGAAGAGTAATATTTCTGCAATGGGAAATCCATGCTTCTGCTTGCAATTTTTTCTTTCTTTCTTTTAAACAAAATATAGAAAATGGTGAGCGCTCTTTGTTGATTTTGCAGTGATGGAAGATAAGTTATAGAAACCTAGCATTCTTATAGGGTTTTGTGTACTTATCTCTGAGTTGTTACCAAACCTGTAAAGTAGAACAGCATTGTTATTATTTCCATATTGCAGATGGGGATGTTGAGGCTGAGAGAGTGACTTGCATAAGGATTTCTGGTAAGTTCATCTCTGAGGAGGTGATGTTTGGACCTCCAGGTTCCTAGCTCACATTCTTAGCCATTCACTGGGTTCTGAGTTATGGATAGGAGGCTTTCAACAATAGAATGGAATACCTCATAAAGTGGTTGACTTTCCTTCATTGAAGGTTTTTAAACAGATGTTGGATGACCATCTCTCAGGGATGACCATCTCTCAGGGATTCTTCAGCTGTGATTCCTACATTGCAGGGGGTTGGACTAGGTGAACCTTGGAGTCCCTTACAACTCTGTGATTCTATGACTCAAAAGGTGTAAATTGTCGTATCTATAGCTGTATCTGGAGATTTGTTTGCCCTGTGAAAGAGAAAAATAATGATTACATCTCAGTTTCTCAGTTCTTGTATTTTTAATAATTATGCAAGTCTGCATGCATGCAACACTACCTAAGATACTGTCCCCCGGGAATTTATTCTGCCCAAGAAAAGTGGCACAGTGTTTTTTCATGCAAATGTACAGCTACCATTTATTTCAGTAGCTGGTATATTACAATGATTATTAGGGAAGATTTCAGTTCTAGCTATTGTTGCTCTGATACCCCAAATCCTGTGTAAAACTATGCATGAATTTTAGCGAGAAGACAGAGAGGCAGAAAAGTGGCTTCCTTCAGCATTTTGCTATTTATTCTGGGCCTTTACTGCTTCAAAAAAAGGGGTCAGAGTGACCTTTTACTCATCAAAAAGGCATGTACAGTGCTCTCTGAAAAGTTTTTTTCAAAGCCACTGCCTCATTTGACCCAACAGTGTGGTCTGTGAGGGACATACAGAGGCGATCCTGTAGTCTCTGCTATGCTGATCACATTCCCCAAGCTTAGGAGAAGAGACTGAAATTCCACAATTGGATACTCTTCTTTCAAAGAATCACAGTTATCACACACACACTATGCTGAATACATGTACCCCATGATTGAAATTAAGAGTTATCATCTCAGCTTGTTCACACGTTTCCAATATAGCAAAAAATTAGACTTAAGATTGGGGTGCAGTGATATCATCCAGTCCAGCTTCTGCCAATACGACACTTTCCAAAACTACAGTAGAATCTCTGATAAACCAGACATCACTTTAAGTCTCCCTCCCCACTGTGGAACTAGTACCATTGTCTGGTAGACAAAAGCAATGGCAAAGGGTTCCGTCATCATGATCCAGCAATAATCATGGATGATGGGATGTTGTGTGTGATGATCATCACATGAGGAACAGCTACTTGCAGTGACATCAGTCGAAGTATATAGGCACATTTTCTCACCTGTGGGATAAACTCACTGACATCTGTGTCACTGCATTGTACCTGTTGGGTGTACATGAAAATGGCCATGTGCATGGTAATCTGCATGCATATTTACCACAGTGGATAGGCACCCACATCAGTGCACAGGTGTCTGTTGTCTTATCCTCATATAGCAGCATTCAGGGCTCTCCTACACACATGAAAGGTGGGTCTTTGAATGTGGCTTCACTCTGTCTAATGGTAGGGCTGGCCTTGCTTTCATTGTATTGACTTGCTTAAGAAAGCTTTCTAAAATAAATCAGTGTTTCAGTATGGAGCTAAATGCCCAGTATAATATAGAAGTACAAATAATCAGAAGCAAAATATAATTGGACAGCCATCTGTAATGGAAGGTTTAAAATTAAGAGCATTGGAACATAAGAGCTCTTACGGATCAGACCAAAGGCTTGTCTTGTCCAGCATCCCATTCTCACAGAGGCAAGCAGGAGTGCTTCCAAACGCACTGTTTTGAGGGTGAGATTCAGTCACACGCCAGCAAATTAAGTTATTTTTCATTCGGCTAAAAAAAATATGATAGTTTTTCCAGATAACTGAAGATTGTTGGATCCCTTGTGTTAAGTATATTTTCCACTTTCATCTCTGCTAAGCAAATTTTGCAGACTTTCATGTTGTTTCAAAAACTTACAAAGCCTACTTGAGCTAAACAGCAAGGTAAATAAAAATGTTAGACTATACAGTACACCGTTAGGTGTGGCTTCTGTCCAACATATTCACCTCTTAAAAAGCAATTGCCTGTCTCTAACCTTCATCTTTGGCACAAATCCACTATCCTGAGGGACTAGTAGCTTGCTTTCGTGAAAGCTGGGAAAGTGAAAGTTGGAATTGTTAGGGCTCTGCTAAGTGACTACGAGTCGCACAGAAGCGGCTCAATACCTTGCCCACCTCAGGACTTCTAAATCACTGCCTCTCTCATTTAGTTCAGTGAGCATTTTGTCTCTGCGAAGGACCGAGTGCCAGTTCCTATATAAGCCCTTAGTAGTCATTTATGTGCAGATTCCCACCAGGAGTACTCAAACGCCTAAGGGTTTGTGAGAGCGGGCCAGAAAAAAGACTTGCAAGATTTAGCCTTCCTGTCGTTTTTCCAATAAAAACATATGTAGAGAAATCTAGAATTATATGTAAGTCCATTTACTTTTTGATATTACCACATCATTTCCACTTCTGGCAACGGGGACTTTGCTGAGGTTAGTTTTGGGCACGGCCTCCCCGAGCACATTGGCACCCTTCTGCAATTTCGATAGAGGCCTCATTCACGGGAATCGCCATGGCGACCTCGCTGCCCTCCCGTTCTTCTCACAGAGTTATTTGTTGAGCCTCTCACGCCGCTGTCTGAGGACATAAACATGTTACACAGGCGGCGCATTAGATGGAGGTGAAATACAGATGATGATATTTAAGGGCTTACAATAGTCATTAAGAGCTCTTTAACCACAGGGCCAGGCTGGGAAGAAGCCAGGGCCCTGACTGCATGTTTTGGCTACTTTCTTCTTCAGATTTATCTGCTTCTTTCTACCACTGAAACCTGGCCAATTATGTCAGCCCGGTGGCAACGAGAGCAGGGAGGTGCAGAGGAGGACCCAACGAAAACATCCAACCCCTGTTAATAGGATTATAAGATTTGAGGACTATAATATTGTTGCAGCTGATTTATTTTGAAAGTTGGTTTTGTTTTAGCGAAAAACAAGCCCTGACTGACACCCATGGGAGTTAGAGCCACGTTGCCAAATACAATCATTTCTGGTTTGAAAGATGTGATTGCTTTTTAATGTGGAAATTTCACAAGGTTACGTTGGGGTGGGGGGAAGGTGAGACTAAACGCCTTTTTTATAACAAAGTCACTTTGAGATATGCACTACAACACCCTGACAGTGTCCAGATACTGCCCGGCAACTTTTTTCCTTTCCTTTCCTTTTTTTTCTTTTTTTTTGGTATCAAAACAGATGGGAAGCACAAACTTCACTACTTCTGAAATGCAACTTCTGTTATGGCTCTTTTTTAAAAAGGGGGGGGAGGGAGAAAGGAGGTGTGTGAAAGGAGGGGGATTAAGCGTGTGATTTAAAAAGAAAGAAGGAAAGAAAAATAAATAAAGAGAGACTTCAACTGCAAGCCACACACACAAATACACCCAAAGGGGCAGCAAAAAGGGGATAGAGGAGAGAAGAATGCAGTCAATCCAATCAAGCAATCGGGACAAAATAATCTCGCTCATTCTCCTTGATAGCTCCGGCGGCCAAACTTGACAGCCCACAATTTGGCATATTCAAAAGGAGTTTGGTTTTTGAGGCTACAAGACATCCTTCTTCAAATTGGTCAGGAAAATAAGCGATATTAATAATAACCATAATAAAGAGGCCTGTCATTTTAAAAAGCAATCTTCCTAAGGACATAAAGAGGATGCAAGAAAGGGTGGAGAAGCCCTCTTTCATTCTCCTTTTAACAAATGTCTGCTCCCGGCTCTGGGGGGAAAAAACCCTCCACAGTAGACCTAACTATTATTGGCAGAGAGGGAAAGTTCAGCGTTTGTCAGATTTCTTCATCTTCTTCTTTAGCACGGACCTATTTTCATTGGATGAAATCCGGTACAGTCACAAAACGCTCGTTGCTTAATATGACCTCAAGAGATTGAGTTTTTAAATTTCATTTCTACAAGGGTAAGAGGGACTTCACAACTCCATGGTAATTTCTCGCCCCCAATATTGCTTGCTTACAGAGGACACCTCCCTGTGTATTATATATATCTGAACTTTTATCTAAGTCTGTAGGAAGCTGTCTCATATCAGGTCAAAACCATTCGCCCCAATCTACGCTCCTCCAAAGTCTTAGGTAGACGTCTTCAGATAGAGTAGATAGATAGATAGTAGTAGTAGATTTTTTTCTTGTCGTTTCCCATATACCACACGAAATAACCAGAGACCGTATTCAAACTCTTCTGAATATCTTAAAAAGCATAAAAATAGTCATACCGTTGCATACATACTAAACCATCTCATCCTTCCTAACATCCTAACCAGAGACCAAATTTGTGTGCAAGCCTGCCGCTGACCCTCTATCCAATGAGCTTTAGTTGGGGCCTTGGGCAAGGATAGGACAGGTTATCACATAGTCTTGGTAGGGTCAGGGTGCCAGGAAGTCTTTGCAGATAGTTAAGAAGTGCATTCTGGCATGACTGCATCTTTGGTATTTCTTCTTGAAAGGAAAAAAAGGGGTGGACTCAGTGCCGGATTTATGTATAAGCTAAACAAGCTATAGCTTAGGGCCCCACTCTCTTGGGGCCCCCCAAAAAAAATTAAAGGGAAAAAACTGGATATACATTTCCAAAATATAAGATAAAAAACAAATAAAATAAAACCTACATACAGCAACAGTGTTTTGTGTTGTGTAGGCTCCTGTGATGTAAGTAATGGGCCCCGCCTGCTAGCCTGCTCCCTAAAATATCACATATAAAGGGCCCCATTGCCTTCAGTAGCTTAGGGCCTCATCAAACCTAAATCCGGCCCTGGGTGGACTAGTTAGACTACTGGGCTGGGGGTTCCCCACCATCGCACAGAAAGCAAGGCTGGGGAGAAGTCATAGGATGGATCTGCAATTGCTAGCCTAGGTGTGTCAAGATGCTGGGCTTGTGTCAAGTACGGGAGTTCCCCTCTCCCTTTGGGTGGCTCACCAATAAGGATTAATGAGCATCTGGCAGATTTATAGTCCTTTTATTCCAGCATTATGTTACAAACGCACACACAGGCAACTCTCCACAAGAATATCAGTTGCCTACTCTGACTCCTCCCCACTTCCGTAGCCAAGAAGCGCACCAACAGGAAGTTCCTCCCCCCTGCATCTCCTTTCTTCCCTTACACGCTCCCCCTCCTCGAATTATGTATCACCCAGCTGCTCCTTCCCTTCTGGTTGCCTAGCTACTATCTCATAGCTGAGTAGCTCCTCTCTCAACTGTGCATCTTCTGTGTCTGTCCATCTCTCTGCTTCTGGAAATGCTTGACTGGGGGGGGGGGCGTGTGAATATTTCCCCTCCTCTTCTGTTAGGAGCCAATCTCCCTGCAATTGCATTCCCCGATCGTCCAATCCAGACCAGACCCTGACAGCTGGAGGCAGCCTGGAAACAAAACTGGGTCAACATCAGAGGTTGGCCTCACCGGGCATTTGCCAAGGCCCACACCTCAGCAGGGGACCCACAACTGCCCACAAGTTGCTGATTCTGCTCCTCATGCTCACCCCTCTTGCCCTTACCAACTGTTTGCCATTACTGACTGCTTGATGCTGACCTCAGGTCCTTTTATGGTGCATTCATGTCGATTTGTGCTCATGATGGTATTGGCTTGGTATACATAATTCCACTTTCATGATTGTTTGCTCCTGCAAAAATTTCGGGGCTGGCATGCTGCTTCGTTTCCAATCAGTGCATGTCCCATCCCTTCTTGCTGTAACTTTTTATACCAGGGCATTCTGGTTTATTTATTGTCCCTCTTTTATTGTGCTACAGTGTATGAGCGCCCATCAAGATGGCAATAATGTGGTAGCACTGGGGAAACATCCCAGAATAAAGCGGAATGATATGCGGATGGCCCAGTATAAATCCACCACAACTGCACTATTATTGTATCAATAATAGTTGTATAACACACACCCACACACCATCCGGAGGGGTTGCTTGCTTCTCTTTTATCCCTAGTGGCTATTTTCTGGGGCAGAGCACAAGTAGGTGAGCCTGGGGAAGAATGAGGGGGCCCTGAGTGGTAGGGGACCCACCATGGACATCTGGCTTGAGGCCTCACAGAACTGGCACTGTAGGTAGCGAACAGAAGGTACAAAGTCCCTGGGACCACGACCAGAGAGCCAGGCAGGGAAAGATGCACCAGGGATAAGAGACCCAAGCAAGCTCAAGGCTAACAGTTGCTGAAGCAAAGCTCATTCCTGAGCTGGAATCTTTTATAGTCCTACCAGGTCAAGGGAAGCCAGGTGGCCCTCTGGATAGGTGGATCCACCCTGGAGGCTGGGCTGAGAGAGGCCATCATACTCCTGCAAGTTTTCCCATCCACAGCTGCCCATAATCGCTCCTTACGAGCAGCGTCAGAGTTCAGTTCCACACAGTTCCTGATTCTTGCTGTGTTGGTTCCTGATAACAAAACAGTAGCGCACAAGGAATGTTTGCCAAAGATGCAAATTCTTGTGACTCCTGGTTTTGTTTTGCCTCTCTATTTTGTTGTGAGATGTTTTATTGCATTGTAAAAAATTTTTAATGTACATTGTCCTGCAACCCTTGGTCTTCTTAATAATTAAATAAGTAACATTGTGTGGACTAGATTTTTATTGTTTATTTACAAATGGGACTGAGAGGGTTTCTTACCTCTGGCTAATTCAGCTACTTGGACTGAAGAATAAGGATGAAACAAAAAATACTGAACTGTCAGGCTTTTACACTGAATGATGGCTCCCCAGACACAGTCCCAGGTTTGAAACCCTGGCAATAACTATATTGTACTTAAAAACCATCTGTGTGTGTGTGTGTGTGTGTGTTTTAAAAATTATTTATATAGTGGAAAGTGTCTTAAAGGTTTGTTTAAAATAATTTGATTGGTAGCATACCTGAATTCCAGGTTCTGTCTTTCATCAGTATACAAACTTAAAGGAATCACACTGTAAAATAATATTTAGAGGGGTTACCTAATACCCTGAGGATTAAAGAGGAAATCCTACATTTACTCAGATGTATGTCCCTTTATGTTCAACGGAGCTTATTCTCAAGCAGGTGTGCATGGGATTGCAGCCTAAGTACCACTCTGGGGAATTGTTGAGGAATACATGGCCAGCTTCGTACATTGATGCATACATGATGGAAGGGGTGCCTTAAAATCAAGTCTTGATGAAAAGGTGTGTTGAAAATAAAATATATAACCATCCATCAGCCTTATAAAGATCCCACTGTTTTACACCTAGAAAATGTTAGGTTAACTGTAAAGAAAAGAAGTGAATATATTGTGTACTAGTTGCAATCTTGTTTCACTATTTTTACTGTATGCCTAGATCCTTGCCTTCAGTTATTTTTGGATCAATAGTGTCAGATTTCTGTGGAACTGATTTCAAACTTTTATCAAACAGTGAAGGCATACCGCAAAAGATTAACTTTTAAAAAAGATGGGTGTTTTTTAGTAGATAGTTAAACAACAACAACAAGAAGATTTGTGTTGCCCATTCTGGATATGCTTTTGGAGAAATGGCTTGCCATTCTGTCCATTTTTGCAAAAATCAAGGAAATGATGGTGACTATCCCTCCCCCAATTTAACGAAAACCTAGTTGCTGTATCAATAAATATGAGCTTATT